AAACCAACCCACGCATTGGTGACCTGAAACCTCTCAGGTGGAATCCCCTTCATGGTCCGAGTGGACCGCCTGGGAACAAACTGGGGTGCTTCTTCTGACCCACTGGGGCCAGCAAGTGTGTCTTCATCAGACGACTCCCCCTCTGACTTGACCCGTCTGTGAGCTTTCTGCATTATGCTAACAGGAGATGAAGGCTCACTCTTGGACACTCCTTTAACAACCCGTGGAGACGCCCAATCCTGTTCTGGACCCTGATCATCGACCTGGTCCTCTTCATCAGGTTCAGCCTCTAACTCTCCCTCTTCCTCAGATTCAGACAGACAATCTGAGTGAATGTCAGGGCTCGCTTTGCGCCTTGCCCAACCATCCTGCTCACAGAACTCAGCATGTTTACTATCAGCTTAGACTGATCACCTTCTGGAAATGCAAACTTCCACCCCTTTGTTGCAGGTTCATACCCACAGAAGATCATTTCCTGGACCTTTGTACCAACCTGCTCTTGCAGAAACTTTGGTACCGGCACCAAGGCTCTCGTACCAAACACACGGAGGAAATGCAGGTTCGGCTTCTCTCCGTGAAGCATAAAATGCGGGGTTTCACCTACCACTGAATTGTAGGACCTATTTTTCGTGAAATTTACAAATTTAATTCCTTCCCCCCAAAAGCTTTGAGGCAAACCAGAGTCATCCAGTAGAATCTGTGTTGCTTGAACCAGAGCTTTGCTCCTAAGCTCTGCCACTCCCTTCTCCTGAGGAGAAGTCACCTTGTGACGTATCCCTTTCTGGCGAAAGAATTTCTGCAGACCAGACCCAGTAAACTCTGCACATCGGTCACTCTGGAACCCCTGCACCTTGGTGGAGAACCTTAGTTCCACCTCTGCAATCCAATCTTTGATCAGTTGTGCTGCATCCTCTTTCCGTTTCAGCGGATAAAACCAGCTAACCTGGCTAAAATCATCCTGCAGCGTCAGCCCAAACCTGGCCCCGCCTAGACTTGGCTTTGGCATGGGACCAAAAAGGTCTGTGTGCACAAGCTCAAAAGGCTTTGTGGTTACCCTCTCCACCCTGGGAAAACCACACCCTTTTACATTCACTTTTCTGCAAGACCTACACTTTAGGGGTCTACCACATTCTCTTATTTTGCATCCTTTAGTGCACTCCGGTAGCATTTGGATATCCTCACAAGAACCATGTGACATTTTCTTGTGCCACATGCAAGCACATGAAACATGAGTATGAACAGTTGCAGACTGTGCCTGTGCTTTCTCAGCACTCCCTTTACCCCCCAGAGGTGTTTCAAGAACAAAAAGGCCGTTGTGCCCTTTTGGAACACTGATCAGGTGCTTCCCCCCTCTGGAAATTGTGCAGACATCCTTCTCAAAGCAAACCTTATACCCCTCCTGTAAGAGACAAGGTACAGATAAAAGACAATGTTTTATCCCTGGCGACACGAAGACTTCCAGCTGCGCCTGCAAAACAGAAACATAAACATTTCCAACTTTAGACAATGGCTTTTGTAACCCATTTGCAAAACACACTGTTTTCCCAACCAAAACAGGCTTACAGTTCCACATCTTGACACTAGGTGTCTCAATTATCAGATGCCTGTTGACAGTACTGTTAATAAACCATTTCATCACTTTGTTCTCACTGCAGCTGTTCTCCAAAGCTGCCATAGCAACAAACTGCCCGCTGCCCCCGTCCTTGGGGCTTTTGCAGGTGTCCTTCCCACACTCTGTGGCACGTTCTTCCTGCGCTTTCCCACGACTGCCTCCTCCCCTGGACCGGTTGCCATGGAGACCTGGCTGATTCCCATGGGATGCGACCTTGGAAACTTCCTGCCCAGCTGCTTTCGCTCTCTGTGGGCAGCAGCGACGTGGATGGTCAGGAGAATTGCAAATGTAGCAGCGACGAGTGGAAAAAATACTGGGGTGAGCTCACAGCTACCGGGCTCTCGATGCTAGCCTCGCCCCCTCTGTAACAACATTCCTTCTCGTCACACACAGTGGAAACTTTTCTAAACTGGCTTTTGGCTTCTCTGCCCCCCCCGACACTTCCAACAGCACTCCGTGAGGCTGTAAAATCAGGGCTTCTGGCTGAGCACTCGGCTTCCTTCTGCTCCTGGCCTCCTGCTGAGCTTTGACACAAACCCCTCAGCACTTTCCAGGCTTCACAGGCCGACTCAATGCCCTCCAAATGAGGTAGCAGCTTAACATGTACGCTTGCTCTCAACATGCAGATCTCAGCTCTCACAGCTTTCTCTCTCTGCAGCTTTTCTGCATCTCCAGCAGCAGCTGGTTTGGCTGGGGACGGCTCCTTCTGGCTTACTTCCCACAGCCCTGTTTCCCAATACCACGCTCTCACTTTCCTGACCCAGGATTCCCACGACTGGGTGGTGAGCTCTTCAAGCTTTTCAAGCGGAGCTTCAAACACCTCTTGGCCATCTGCCATCTTCCCCCGGGGCCCAGCTTACTCACGTAAACAACAGTAGCTCTCCAGCTCCCGGTCCAGCAGATCAGCTCCTCCCAGCTGAGTTCATCTGCCTCTCTCAACTTCAGGCAGGACTCAAAGCTGGCTTCAGCGTCGTCAGCTTGCCTTCAATCGTTAGGCACAGCTGCAAACCCTCTGCAGCCTCTCCTTAGCTGGCTCCCACACACACACCGGCACGTCTGGCAACAGCTTCAAAGTGCTTTCTGTCCACCCATAACCTATGGAATGTTGTAGCCCTTGTAGCCTTTTTAGCTTTTGTCTGGAGCCCACGCGCTTCCACTCTCAGCGCTCTGCTCAGCTCTCCGGTCCAGCTACTTGCAGCAGAGTGTACGCAGCTGATAGACTGTTGCTGTGCGTGTGTGTATAATAAATCAGACTGCACGCACGGTGTCTTCCTTATCTTCTAAAAGTCTTTATTCGTGTGGAAAAACAAACCATAAATCTCCTCCTGGCGACCGAGCACACATCTTTGCTCGTCTCTCTCCGTTGCGAACGGAACAGCACTGAGTCACAGGAAACACTCCCCTCAGTAAACCACGCCTCAGAATGTGAGACGTCACTCAGAACTTCTTAACCCTGTAAGTTCTGATTCTCTCCACAATTTTAACCTTATTTTCCATTAAAATTATAATTACTTATTTATGCTTAATTCCTTAAAGCATTTCTACTAAAGCCATATAATTTCCTTTCAACATTTTTCTAACATTCATTAATTTTACATTATTTCCATATATAGATTTTAAACTTTTTCCAATATTCTTCCACCGTCTCTTCTCCCTGGTCTCGGATTCTGTCAATTCCATATAGTCCATCAACCTGGTGATCTGTCCGAGGCTCTTAACTCTTTTCCAAGTCCCTTCTGCGAGTCTTCTTCATGTTTATACATGCACTTTACTTTGTCTTCTCCTGATCTTGTTCTTATTTTCCTTCCTCTGATGCTGAAAAGTAAACCTCAAGGAAATTCCCACCTAGCAATGTTTTTATTCCTTCTCGACAAATCAGCCAGATCTCCATAGTTAAAACTAAAATTCACAAGGTATTTCCAGTCGTATTTCAAAGTTCCTCCAAGTCTAGCAGTCCCCACAACTCCAGTCTCCTCCTGACCCAAGTCCAAGTCCCAAAAGTCAACAAATCCCTGCATGAAGGGATCTATCCAACTTTCCTTCTCCAGTCCAAGCGGGGCTCCAATCCTCAAAGTCTGGCTTTCTCTAGATTCCGTCATAAAAGGCATCCACTTATAGTCATCAATTTGCATCTGTGAGGCTGGGGCTCTAACAACTTTCCCCCCCGCCTTCTCCTCAATTTGCCATGTCAAGGTAGATCCCTGTATTGATTCCTGAATAGTTTCTGTATTAATATTCACTTTTTGTCCAAAATTAGTCACTTTTTGTTCCAAGTTATCAATTTTTATAATCATCACACCCATCTTCCTATGGAGCTGTTCCAGTGAGTCATTAATCTTACATAATGCAACCACTAAGGCTTCTTCTGTCAACATTCTTAACAGTCCAAGGTCAATCCCAGATTCTCACGGTCTTGTCTTACAGCTGGAAATTCCCCACTCAGCTCATGTAACAATTTCAAAGGCTGCCTCTAGAGGGAAACAATTTCTATTTGTATCAATCTTTTTAAGCACAATTAAAACAATAAAGTTAGTTTCAATTTTCAATTACATTTACTCCTTTTTAAACACAGAAGGAGACAATGGAACCAATGTATTTCTCTTCTTTAACTTACTGTCAACAAACGATCTATTCACAGTCAATGAACATATCCAAAACTTCAGTCCTTCTAGCAGCCCGTTTCCAGGTTCAGAGCGGTGGTAATTTGACTTTCTTCACTCTCTCCTGCAGGCTTGCGCGGTCTAAAAATTCCCCCCTCTCCTCTTGCTTCCAAGGGGGGTTTGATGATTTTAGCCAATGGAAGTTTAATCCTTTATGGAAAGCTTTCCAAGACGTTAGCTTGCAGCTTTTTTGCTCCAGTCTATTTACAAAAGGGGAAGGCGGACTTCCTGTTGGAAACCTCCCCGTTTCGGTACCAAATTAAGACGTTTAAATAATCCAATTTTCCGTTCTACTCACGGGTAGTTGTTTTAAAATCGAATTGTCCACACAAAAAAGTCAGCGTTCTCCGGCAACAGCAATGCGGCTTCACTCTGTGAAAGAAGCAGTCAATTTGCAGCACCGCGCCACTCACCCCACGTCACTCCGGATCCCCGAAACCAGGTTTCCCCGCGAGTAGGGGAGGCGCAAAAGGTGCCAGCTGAATCCCACGTTCACAGGCTTCACCCGCCTGTGATTTTTTGTGGGTCCCCGCCTTCGCCGTGGCGGTCAGATCCTAATTTCCACGAAGCGAATTCCTCTCGGTCAGAGGAATTCAGCCATTACCGGAGGCACTACCCCAGAAGTCCTAACTCCCTTCAGTTCTTTGCCTCTCCCAAGCATTAATTAGCATTGTTCCATAATTTGGGACTGCACTTCTTCCTGAGACTCTAATCTGTTTGCCTCTTAGTTTCAGGTGGTGATGAATTGGAAATAAAGAACAAGGGAGACCACAACGAAATCCACACAGTGGAGGAGCCATATCAGGATTCAGACTGTGGAGAGAGCTTCAGTCAGAGCTCCCATTCCACTTCCCATCAAAGAAATCCCCTTGAGAAGAAACCTTATCACTGCTTGGAATGTGGAAAAAGCTTCACTCGGAGTGCCAATCTCACTTCCCATCAAAGGATTCATACAGGGGAGAAACCCTATCAGTGCGTGGAATGTGGAAAGAGCTTCAATCAGAGGGCCAAGCTCATTTCCCATCAAAGGATTCATACAGGGGAGAAACCCTATCACTGCTTGGAGTGTGGAAAGAGCTTCACTGATAGCTCCTCCCTCACCTCCCATCAAAGAATTCATACAGGGGAGAAACCCTATCAGTGCGTAGAATGTGGAAAGAGCTTCACTCGGAGTGCCAATCTCACTTCCCATCAAAGGATTCATACAGGGGAGAAACCCTATCAGTGCGTGGAATGTGGAAAAAGCTTCAGGACGAGCTTTGAACTCACTTTGCATCAAAGGATTCATACAGGGGAGAAACCCTATCACTGCTTGGAGTGTGGAAAGAGCTTCAGTCACAGGTACAATCTCACTTCCCATCGTAGAATTCATACAGGGGAGAAACCATATCACTGCTTGGATTGTGGAAAGAGCATCAGTCGCAGCCATGATCTCACTTCCCATCGTAGAATTCATACAGGGGAAAAACCATATCACTGCTTGGAGTGTGGAAAAAGCTTCAGGATGCACTCTGAACTCACTTCCCATCAAAGGATTCATGCAGGGGAGAAACCCTTTCAGTGCATGGAATGTGGAAAGAGCTTCATTAGAAAGCACAGTTTCACTTCACATCAAAGAATTCATACAGGGGAGAAACCCTTTCAGTGCTTGGAATGTGGAAAGAGCTTCAAACAGAGGGCTCATCTCACTTCCCATCAAAGGATTCATACAGGGGAGAAACCCTATCAGTGCTTGGAATGTGGAAAAAGCTTCAGGACAAGCTCTGAACTCACTTCCCATCAAAGGATTCATACAGGGGAGAAACCCTGTCAGTGCCTGGAATGTGGAAAGAGCTTCAGTCAGAGGGCCAAGCTCACTTCCCATCAAAGGATTCATACAGGGGAGAAACCATATCAGTGCTTGGAATGTGGAAAGAGATTCACCTGGAAAATAAGCTTCACTTCCCATCAAAGAATTCATACAGGGGAAAACCCCTATCAGTGTCTGGAATGTGGAAAGAGCTTCACCAGGAAAGAAAGTCTCACATCCCATCACAAAATCCATACAGGGGAGAAACCCTAACAGTGCGTGGAATGAGGAAAGAGCTTCAGTCAAAGCAAAAATTTCATTTCCCATCAGAGAATTCACACAGAGAATTCAGTGCCAAGAGTGTGATCGGAGGGATTTATGAAAGTTTGGTCTCATTTTTAAAGTTCTTAACACAATTGGAGCTCTTAAAAGGACTTAGAGCTCCCTGAAAAAGCTAAAATCAAGACAGGTTTGGATAAGTTCGTTTCTCTTTGAAGGAAAATATTTCTTCTACTCTGAGCCACTTAAAGAGAATTGGATTCCTGCAAGACAACTACTCTTATCTGGACGTATAAATTGCTATGTCCTCTTGGACACATTTTTTATTTTTTATTTTTTATGGTTCTTCTCTTAAAGTAATTATTTGGTTTATTTGTTTAATTGAAATCTTAATTTGAGAAATTGGATTTTATGTTGAACAGCTTATGTGTGTTGGGTATCAGGCTGGAAGGAAGAGGGAGGGCTGGAAAAATGCAGGTAACAGGATCTCTTGGGAAAGAGTTATTCTGTGACCTTGACAAACTGATAAGGTGCTGCTGGAAAATAGGCTGCTTTGAGAACAAGGGAGAGGGAGATTTTGAATATGGCAGTTCAAAAACAGTTAACACCAGGCCTGTGTTAAATTTGGAGAAGCTATTAGCCCGAATTGATAAAAATCATTAAATGGTGACAAATTTGACCACTAAAGTAGAGACACTGACAAAGAAAACAGAAGCACTAGGTCTCTCCATGAAACGAAGGGAGGAGAAGTCTGAAAAGATGGGGGAAAAGACAAAAAATGGAAATAAGAACAGGAGACACTTAGGATTGCTGTCGACGGTTTGGGTGGAAGATAAGAGGCAATTGCGGGCGCTTTGGCGGTTCTTGAGATGAGACAGAAAGCCCAGCCTCTGAGACGGAGAGGAGGGAGGAGAGCAGGATTTTAGCAAAGGTTTGAGCGGAGTGGCTGGGAGTGGAAGAGGAATTCATGGAGGAGGTGCCACTCTCCTCACAGCTGGGGTGGTGGTGGTTTTTTGGGTAGAAAACCAATGTGAATAAATCCCCCCCCAGTGAAACCCCCTGGCCGGTCCTCCTGTCTCCGTCTCCCTGTGCCCCCACCCTGCCCCAATCAAAGTCCCAGCCAGCAGCTGCCCCCAAGGCCTTCCTCCACCCATCTTGGGGCCTCAAGGCATGCGGGCAGAATTTGGTGGGGGGCCCGGCTGGGCTCAGATGTCTGCTTTCCTCTCCTTGCACCGAGAAGCTTGTCTACTAACTAATGGATAAAGGGTTGTTTGGAAGACTAAGCCCTCTCAACCCCCCACCCTGTTTTAAGGAAAACCCGCAGGAGGGGCGGGTAAGGGAGGCAGAACTAGGAAGTCCAGAAGTGACCGAGGCCGAGCATCCACAGGAAGCAGAACCACAACCGAGTGGACCAGTGGCGTCCAATCCAACGACCCCGTCACAGCCGGCAGCCCTGGAACAAGAGCCAGAACCAGGAACCCCTGCTGAGAGACACCCAAGACCACAAGGCATACGTAGGTGACCGGAATACCTCAACAACTAGGAATGCTAACCTTCTGGGCGCAACAGGAACGTAGAGGGGAGGGGGGTTATGTACTAAGCTTGGAGCCTAGAACAAAAGGCTAGTGGGATCCTAGAATGCAACAACTGATTGGCCTGCAGGAAAAGACCAATCAGGCTCCAGGAGGGAAGCAGAATCAGCCAGTCAGACGGGACTGATTGTGCAAATAATGTATATAACAGACTAAGGTTTGGGGTGCAATTAAATCACTGTTTTACAAGCTGCAATAAAGAGCATGAAATCACTACAGGACTCAGAGTATATTTCAGAGAATCTAATGCATCTTTGTTTGGGATTGTCCAGCAAGGAGATTGGAGATGGTTGCCAGTCAAAGGGTAGTTTAAGACACGGGGGGGGGAGAGCTCCTTGTGAAAGGGGGGGGCAGTTTTGGGAGACATTCCAGCCGTGGCATTGGGAGCCAGATGAGGAATCCTGGAAGAGGACACTCCAGGCTCATCTAGTCCAACCCCTGCAATTCAGGAACCCCGGTTCTTAGTCTCGCCAGCTCCCTTGAACTGGGCAACTCAGATGCCTGGAGCAGCGCCCCGTTGGAGAACAGCCTTGGGTCGCCTCTGGAGCTGGCCGGACCTTTTCGACGGCTGTTTCCATCCCCCCTGCCTTCTGCTGGCAGGCCCGGTTGGGAGCCCTCAAAGCCCATTGAGGGTGCCTGGTCCTGGAGGTGGTTTTCAAGTTGGAACTATGTTTTGACCCTTTGCCAAAAGGAGATGCCACAAAGTGTGTGTCGGGAGGGTGTCTTTTCAGTGCCAGGATACAAGGTGCTCTCTTGACCTGGGAGCCCAATCCCTCTCCCCCACCCCTAGAAAAGGGGGTCTTCCCCTCATCCTCTCCTTGCAGAACCCCCTTTTCCTTCCTCTTTGCTCAGAGAGTCGAAACCAACTCTCTCTCAAGGGACCCTGGAGCCAAACACTTGAAGAGTTTTACTTCTCTGGGCCCCTGACCAACCACATGGCTGGATGGTCATTTCCACCATTCCAGAGGTGAGACCCTCCATCCTAACCAGGGAGGGTGTTGCTTTACTTGCCAACAAGCAGGACACACACGCCTGTTTGTTGGCATCAGGCTGCAAGAAGCTCAGGGGAAGTGGCAGGTTGGGGCACCTAGGAGAATATCCTACACCCAAAGACGCCCCATGTGGTTTAGCGGACAGACTAAGAGCCCTGGAGCTGAAGGAGGGAGACCTGGGCCCAGTCCCCCCCATGGCTAGGAGCTCTGGAGGGAGGTGGGGAAGATGGGGAGTGAGAGGAGCTGGTTCTGGGTGGAAACATCCACTCTGAGGAAAAGATCACCAGCTAGAGAAAGGAGTCTCTGAGCTTAGTGGGAAGGACAGTGTGTGGTGTCCTGGGAGAGGAAATCAGGCCAGGAATGAACTGGGAGGCTGAGCCAGGAGAAGGAGGAGCTGGAAAGAGACCGGCTGCTGAGCTCTCATCCCAGTCAGGAGGGGAGAGATCCTTCTAGAAAGAGAAGACTCCCAAACCAGAGATCCCTTGGGTCTTTGGCTTGGGTACCTCGGGAGTAGGGTAACTGGCAGAAAGTGCCACCTTGTTAAGAGCCAAAGTATTACGTGTGAAACAACTGAGAAAACCTTGAAGAGAAATAACATTGTAAACTGAGGTATCCTAAGTTTTATCCACTCATGTCAAAAACTTCCTTGTTAAATAAAATTGTTAATGTTTATTTGAAGAAATCCTGCCTGAGACTCCCAATTAGTGAGTTTTACCTCACGCAAGTCCCCCACAAGATAATCTGAGGTAGTTGGAGGGCATTTGTGGGAAATTGTGTTCTGTGAGGTGGGTGCACTACATTTAAGAGAGAAGACGGGTCCAAGACTGCCGGGGGGGGGGGGGAGAGCCCTTGCGTCGTCGCATATTAACTGGGGGCAGAGGTGGGATAGGAAGTTAAAACCCACACAGATCCTATTTAGTTTTGAGCGGACTGGCAGACTTAAACATTCATGAGGAAAACTGGGTGCTGCACTTACGCCCACAGAGATGTGGAATTTTGAGTGAAATCTACCCAGATCTCAGAGAGGATGAAACCTCTGATTCCCTCACATTTAAAGAGAGAGTGAAAGTGCGCTTTGGACTGAGTGCAGAACAAAGCCAAAAAGCCTTTCGTGAAATTCAAAGGAAACCAGGAGAGACTTAGGCCCAACTGGGTAGCCGAACTGACCAAGCTCTGGACAGATGGGAGGAAAGTGAGATGAGCTCAAACAGCTCATCAGTTTAGAGGAATGTTTTCAAGAGGTTCCTGCTCATTTAGGCTGAAAACAGTAACTGAAGTCTCTACCTTGGGAGATGAAATCAAAGGAGACTCAGGGGGAGCAGTAATACTCTGTCCCTTCCAGAAAAAGCAACTGAGGGAGGAAGTGGGGTCTCAAAACGACAGCCCTGAAGGGCGGGCCCAAGGGTGCCGGGGGGAAAAGAGCCGTGATACGAAGTAAAAACCCACACAGAAACGTACCCAGAGACACAGAACAACCAGTTTAATACAGGAGTGAAGTTCTTTGACTAAAAAGAGAGAAAATTCCTGTCAGAAAATGACCAGCAAGCGCCAAGCCAAAGAGACTCAGGATGACCCAGCTGCTGCGTCTGAGGAGAATCCTAATATATTGAATTAGAGATGATGAGGCTAAGATTGGAATTGTCTAAGGTTGAAGCAGAGAAAGAAAGAGAAGAGGCCAGAATGGCAGCTGCCCTTCATCTAGCAGAGATACAGGCAGAAAGAGAGAGAGAGAGAGAGAGAGAGAGAGAGAGAGAGAGAGAGAGAGAGATGAGCCCAAGAAGAAAGAGACATGTTTCCTTTAAAAATGGAGGAGATTCAGGCGAGGGCAGAACTGCCGCAAGCAAAGTCGGGGGTGGAGATTTTGCCTCAGCAAATGTAAAGTATGTACAGTGGTACCTCGGGTTACAGACTCCGCTAACCCAGAAATAGTACCTCAGGTTCAGAACTTTGCTTCAGGAGGAGAACGTGCTCCGGCGGTGCAACAGCAGTGGGAGGCCCCACTAGCTAAAGTGGTGCTTCAGGTTAAGAACTGTTTCAGGTTACAAATGGACCTCCAGAGCGAATTAAGTACTTAACCCGAGGTACCACTGTGAAAGGTGATGGTGTGCAGGCCTAATGGTCTAAGCTTCAAAATGACAGTTTTCAAAATGAGGCAAGTCAAATATTTGGGTCCCAAGGGGTGGAAATATTTATCCTGATTGGAGCAAGGCAAAGGTCCTTCAAGAGGGGCCTGGACCCTCCACAGAAAGAGAAAGAAGAGCTTTTCTGGGGGGACAGGGATATTGTCCTCCATTTATTTCTCCTTGTAGCCCCCATGCTGCTCCTTGACATGACTGGGAGAAGAAAGACCAGCCAGACAAGAGCATTTGGAGGGAGCAGTGCCAGGCAGCGTTGGGACATTTAAAAACAGCCCTAGATCCGGGGTCAGCAAGCTTTTCCAGCCGGGGGCCGGTCCACCGTCCCTCAGATCTTGTGAGGGGCCGGACTATATTTTTTGGGGGGGATGAACAAATTCCTATGCCCCACAAATAACCCAGAGATGCATTTTAAGTAACAGGACACATTCTACTCATGTAAAAACACGCTGATTCCCGGGGGCCGGATTGAGAAGGTGATTGGGCCACATCTGGCCCCCGGGCCTTAGGTGCCTCCCCTGGCCTAGATGGACCTTGGGGTCCCTTCCAACTTTAGGATTCTGCTCCTCATTTTGGAAGGCGGACAAGGAGCAAGAGCAACCTGCCTTCGCAAGGAAGAGGACGGAGTCTTCATCTCCTTGGTTGCCCTTCTCTGGGAGGGTGGGCAGATTGTGAGGAGCAAAACGAGGGTGTGATGATGACTCTCACTTTCAATACTCCTACTATAGGTAGGCTAGAGAAGCTGTGAGATGTTTTGCTGAGGGGGGGCAGGAGAAGAGAAGAGGAACGCAAGTCTTCCACCCCCAGTTATGACTCCTCCAGAACATCTGGCCAGAGACATTTTGACAAAAAAATCCACCTGGACAGAAATTTACCCCTGAAAAGGAGGACGTGTCCTGGGAAAAGAGGACACATGGCAAACCCTTCTTCTCTGGCGTCCCTCGTAGCCGAGTAAGACTGTCTCCCCTAAACACGGTTTTCAACCATGAGGCCCTCAGTGACTGTGGGGGGCCAATTCTGGATCCAGGCGTCCTTCCTTGCCTGGTTGAAGGAGCTGTGAAGACACGCTGATTCCAGAGGATGAGGAGCGTCAAACACACCGTTTAACCCACACGGGTCTGGCACCTGGTGTTGGCAACCCAAGTCTCAATCCAATTCCAACATTTATGAGGTATTTTGCGGGGCTTGGGCACCCACCAACTTAGAACAATGTCACCCGAGGGGGAATAAAAGGCTTCCTAGGAAAAACCCCCTGGCTGCTCCTGTGTTGCTTCCAAGGCGACTTCACCAAGAACATACATTTATGGCTGAAATACAGACACAAAGCAGCAGGTGGGACAACACAGAATGGCACCCCCCCCCAGCCATGTCTGGCAATGTCTCCCCCCTCCAGCTGCTCCTTCAGCCCCCCGGGACCCCCTCTTGCTGGGACAGGGCTCTCTGCCCCGCAGCCCCCCCAGGGGCCCCCAAGAGAGACTCGCCCCCCCGGGTCCCCCATCTGGCCCCCCCCAAGACCCCCCTCTCCCCGCCCAGAAGCCCCTTCGCAGCCCCAGGCAGAGAGACGGGCTCCTCCTCCCGGACACGGGTTCCCCCTTCACACGCACACTCGCCCAGTCCCGGGTTCTGGGTCCGGCTTCTTCCCTGCCTCCTCCTCTCCGCCCGGGCTCCTCGGCAGGGAGAGAGAAGGATGAGCGGGGCGCGCCCGGCTCGCCAAGGGTTAAGAGGCGCCGAGCTGGCTTCCTAGAGAGGACAGGAAAGGAAGGCGGGCCGCTCCTCCCCTCCCTCTGACGTCCCTTCCGGCCAGAGCGGCCTCGCCTTCGCCGGCCGGGCTCTGGTGGGTCTCCTCTCGGGGGAAGCCTGGGGAACTCCCTGCCCCGGGAGGCGGGAAGGGGAGGGAAGAGAGGCTGGGGGTCCGGGAGGGAGCCAGAGGGACTCAGGCCCTGGCCAGGGAGGTGGGACTGGAAGACAGTGAGGAGGGAGAAGGACATTCGGAGGGACATAATTGTGAGGGAGAAGGATATTAAGAGGGACATGATTGTGAGGGAGAAGGATATTAAGAGGGACATTATGTGAGGGAGAAGGATATTAAGAGGGGGATTATTATGAGGGAGAAGGACATTCGGAGGGACATGATTGTGAGGGAGAAGGATATTAAGAGGGACATTATTATGAGGGAGAAGTATATTAAGAGGGACATTATTATGAGGGAGAAGGATATTAAGAGGGACATTATTATGAGGGAGAAGGATATTAAGAGGGACATTATTATGAGGGAGAAGGATATTAAGAGGGACATTATTATGAGGGAGAAGGATATTAAGAGGGACATTATTATGAGGGAGAAATATTAAGAGGGACATATTATGAGGGAGAAGGATATTAAGAGGGACATTATTATGAGGGAGAAGTATATTAAGAGGGGGAATTATTATGAGGGAGAAGTATATTAAGAGGGACATAATTATGAGGGAGAAGTATATTAAGAGGGACATAATTATGAGGGAGAAGTATATTAAGAGCGGACATTATTATGAGGGAGAAGGATATTAAGAGGGACATTATTATGAGGGAGAAGTATATTAAGAGGGACATTAATATGAGGGAGAAGTATATTAAGAGGGACATTAATATGACGAAGAAGTATATTAAGAGGGACATTATTAAGAGGGGGATTATTATGAGGGAGAAGGACATTCGGAGGGACATGATTGTGAGGGAGAAGGATATTAAGAGGGACATAATTATGAGGGAGAAGGATATTAAGAGGGACATAATTATGAGGGAGAAGTATATTAAGAGGGACATTAATGAGGGAGAAGGATATTAAGAGGGACATTATTATGAGGGAGAAGGATATTAAGAGGGACATTAATTATGAGGGAGAAGTATATTAAGAGGGACATAATTGTGAGGGAGAAGTATATTAAGAGGGACATTATTATGAGGGAGAAGTATATTAAGAGGGACATAATTGTGAGGGAGAAGTATATTAAGAGGGACATTATTATGAGGGAGAAGGATATTAAGAGGGACATATTATGAGGGAGAAGTATATTAAGAGGGACATTATTGTGAGGGAGAAGTATATTAAGAGGGACATAATTGTGAGGGAGAAGGATATTAAGAGGGACATTATTATGAGGGAGAAGTATATTAAGAGGGACATTATTATGAGGGAGAAGGATATTAAGAGGGACATAATTGTGAGGGAGAAGTATATTAAGAGGGACATAATTGTGAGGGAGAAGTATATTAAGAGGGACATTATTATGAGGGAGAAGTATATTAGGGGGGACATTATTATGAGGGAGAAGTATATTAAGAGGGACATTATTATGAGGAAGAAGTATATTGGGAGGGACATAATTATGAGGGAGAAGTATATTAAGAGGGACATTATTATGAGGAGAAGTATATTAAGAGGGACATGAGGGAGAAGTATATTAAGAGGGACTATTATGAGGAGAAGTATATTAAGAGGGACATATTATGAGGGAGAAGTATATTAAGAGGGACATTATTATGAGGGAGAAGATATTAAGA